GGCACACACACGGGGCTGCACTTTTTCAGTACGGCAAATTAAAAAAATAATGACCATAGCTACTTGTGTATTAAGAGCATATATGTATATATACCTATAACTTAGGTTATAGGTATATGATTAAGAGCGCAAAGTGATACATTGCCGCTCTGAGAGAGAAGTTTGTCGAGCGACGCGTAGCGGAACCGGTGTTTCTATAAGAATGTTTGGTAAAAATTAATAATTATTGATAACCTCAAATTTGACGTTTGTATCAAAAGTCGCAAATACACTAAACGTTTCTTTATTATGGTTACCATGTGGTAACTAAGCGAGCGACAAAGTAACTTTGTCGCTCGGCGAGCGACGAAGTAAAAAACGCTCGCTCCTCGGAAAAGTGCTTTCTTTTGTAAGCGCAAATTTGTACTTTCCGCTTGGTTGTAGAAAAAATATTTTACCACACAGTTTATTTGTACTTTTATTTTAGTTATATTATTATAATTATGTAATTTCCATGAACATTTTTTTCACCTGTCATCTGTTAAAAGTGGACCAATGAGAGTGCTTCATTTTTTAATTTTTGTCAAAAGTAATTGTTGCGAATATTGGACTAGTACAAATTGCAGCGAATATTATCTAGAACAATATAGCCAAACATTACTTTTGATCTGTGAAAAATTGATATTAAGTAACTACGGAGTAAATATGTTGGGAAAATCAATTTCGGTGCCTTTTAAATTAATTTTTTTTTTTAATTTTAGTTCAATAAAATTGTGTTATATTTTAAGGTGTGATATAGCGAATATTGTTTATGGTGGCGAATAGTACTCGTGGATGCAAAATATTCGACATGTTTTTGATTAGTGGTAGTATTATTTATAAATATTTAACATTTTAACAAATGCCGCTCCTTTTATTTAACATGATGTTAAAATTATTAATAATTCTCATTAAAGACCACGGTGAAAGAAAGTTTAGTAACTAGGAAAAATGTTTAAAAATATTACAAACCGATTTTTATGTTTGAAAAATAGCATGAAATAATTTTTTTATACTAAATATAAAATTGTCGCTCTACAACTTTTCTCCCGAGGTCTTCAATTAGTATGTATTGCCAAGATTTTAAGGTAATTCTGTTTTTGAAATTTTAGGTAATAATTACGTTGTGAAGTGATCTATTAGGGCTGCCCTACTGGGCGGCAAATCCTATGAGCGGCAAAGCTTATATTAGGTAATTATTCAAATAATAGGTATTAAATATTTTTAAAAGCAAATTGATTGTAAGGAAATTACAAAAATAATGAGTATTTTTAAAATAAATAATATTTGATAAAGCAAGTTTGATATCGAATTTAGATTAAGCCTAAAAATTGCAAATTATTAGCTTAAAAACAACTCAAATTTGCTTAATCACATATTATTTTCTAGACATTCAAAAAATGGAATAACGAATTGTTTAATATTTAATATTATATTATATCGCAGGGTAAATTTTCTTCACAAAACTTGTTAGTTCCTCCTACAAGAAATTGTTAGTTAAAATTTATGAGTTTGCTTTAGGTCCAAATTTTATTATGCTATCTAAATGTACTACTGCATTTTTAGATAGCACAATAAGTTCTGTGAATAAAATATTTCGTGATGTAACTAAACGCATTTCTTCATCTTTTGAGATAGGGTTTCTTAAAATCCTGTCATGGGTAAGGAATTTAAATTTAGCTCATTTAAAATCTACTGAATATTTTGATAAACCTGGGTACAAATTTGGTAGGATTATTACCTTACTGCAAAACCTTTTAATAGTACTTTCATTATTTTATGTGGCAAATCTGTAGGATTTCACAGACGAGTGTGCAAGTCCAGCAAATAGAGACGAGCCACAAATATTCACTTAAATCCGCATAAAATATACTATTTTTTCAAATGTCTAATAAATTAAATATTGAAAAACAAAAATCCAAATCTAAACCAAAACATTAAGGTCTTAGTACTATGATAATTACAACATAAATCCCTGCCATTTATATTACATTTAAAAAAAAACTAAAATCATCACAAACAGTTTACCTACAGGTATAATAAAGAACATTCGATCGAATTATTCGATTAGTGTTAAAAATTCCCTATTTTTTGCTGGCAGCATATTCAAAATTATTTAAAAAACTTTTCAAGTTTTGGACAAATTAAACTGCTTTTTTTGGCGCAGACTGGAGTTTAAATATTAAAACTTTTGATTTTAACATGGTATCCAAACTTCACGTAAAACCATAACTTTTAAGGAAAAAATATCATACATTATGGTATCCATGGAAAATAAGCATTACAACAATAGCATAGTAAAAATTAAAAAAAAATACCTTAGACTATAAAATATAGCAAACCTAGCCTTATTATTAGAGATGGGATTTTAAGTTGCCAAATTTATAAAAATAGATACCTAAATAGGTATAGTTTTTTCTTGTTTTAGGTGAGAACATTTTTAAATTAGCTACGTTCTTTACGCAAAAAAGTACTGGAAAGCAACTTTTAGTGGTAAAAAATTTTATTATTGTATAAAATTCTTTTGAACAAGATTTTTATGATTTCAATTTTTTTTTTAAATAACTGACCAATATATCTTGTAAAAATATTATGATACCATCATAGATTTTATATTTTTTTAATGTTTTTTTTAATAAGCATACAATTGCTGAAAATATCAAATTCACATTCATTGTGATAGAAATGTTTTTAAATTACTTCCTCATAAAAAAGCACAAATTTGCTAGGATTTGTGAAAATACATGAGTTTTTTAAATAAAACATGATAACATGAGATTGATTTAAAAAACTTAAGATCTCATGCAAAAGCATGGGACCTGGCAACATTGCACAGGAATGTCACATTCGCGTCGATGTTCGCGATTCCCAGTACCAACCACGCCCAACCATGGGTTGGGAGTGTTTGGTTACCAATCCTGTACAACCAAAATAACTACATGGTTCATAAGAATTATGTCATCCAAATACTTAAACCCCAATATTACAAAAAATAATGTTTTTCATGGTAAAATTTAAAAATTCCATTCATTTCTGTTAAAATAAGAATTTATGTAAAATTACACTAGTTTAGTTAGTAAAATGTAAAAATTAGGTCCATTTCCCTTGGAAATAAAAATTTAGGTAAAATAAAATCAGGCTCAAATGAAATCATTTTCTTCAAAACGGAGTTTTAGTCCATTGCACCTAAAGTTATGATAAGCATAGATAAATAGGTAATAATACTAAAATCCCATCTCTACTTATTATAATTTAAACAAAATAAACGCATATAATAATAGATAAAATTAACCAAAAAAAATGTATGGAAAGCACACAATAAAATAAAATTTATAAAAAAGAAATATAAAGATTTTTTATACAAATCACAAACCATGAACGAAAGAAAGGTTTTGGACTTCCATAGTATTTTTTATCCCAAGCCGTCTTGCCAGTCGAAAGGCCGTGATTAAAAATACTACGGCAATGGAAGCTCAAAACCTTTATTTCTTTTAAAAAATATCATTGTCTATCTCAACAGAGTGTCCCACAGATACCGGATATCCTCTTAACTATAACTATATTTATATATATATATATATATATATATATATATACACATATATATATATATATACATATATATATATATATATACATATATATATATATATATATATATATATATATATATATAAACAGGTTGTCCCAGAATATGTGGGCAATCTCCCGGATTTAGATATAACACTTAATATAATATAATAATATACTATTATGACAAGTTCCTATACAATTTTTTCTACGGCCCCTCCTACGGAGATACTGACCCATAACGGACGCCCCTGGAAATAACTTTTGTAGTACAAGGTAAACTTGAATAATGTTTAAATATATTTAGGACGTAAAATAAAACAACTCCTTTTTTTAAGAAAAATTGCCGACGTTACGAAAATATTTATTTCTATCTCAAGGCTAAAAATGAGTTAAAATAGTCTATGAACATTAGGGTGGTCCAGAAACGAATTAAAAAAGTGAAGTTGTAAATAGACTTATTCTCACCCTCTAATTTTTTTATATAAAGTAAAAAAAGTTATTTTAGAAAATTTGAACCCTCTAGCTTAATTAGAAGGGAGTGCTCACAGCTATGATAGAATGAATCTGAAGACAATATATCCACATGAAAATCATGGTCCAGAACTCTTAGTAGCATAAATTGCAGCTTTTTTGTGGTTTCTGTCGGAACAGATTTCCGATTCGTTTCTACGATTTGTAACAAGTCTTGCTTTTCGTCCTCATTTTTTATAATTGATTATGCTCTTCAAATAGTTTTACCCATCTTTCCGCTATATCATTTACAACTCGAAGTTTACAACACACAGTCGACCTTGAAAAAATATAAGTAAGAAATAATTTATTGCGTAGACAAAGGCCATATTATTATTATTATTATTATTATTATTATTGTTGTTGGTATTAAAATTATTACGAGTTCATTGAATAAGTACCAAAGATGATGTTTCAGAGAATTTCTAGCAACCTCGCTTTTCCCAATCTCCTCATAGCGTTCTAAATCTTTCCAAAAAGTTAGGTCGGACATAGTAGCTTTAGTGGCACACGGTGCCTTGATCCAGATTTCACCAAAACGACCAAAGCCAACTCGATCAGTTCCAAGTAGTCGTCATAACGTTGAGACTTTTGTTTCAATGCAGCTAGCAACAAGGGGATTGGGGAGTTTTTGTAAAATTCAAAATTCATCGACGATTCTAGGTCTGAGGACTTGAAGCAGATACGATCAATAGGTACCCAAATTATTTTAAATCGATTGGAATTGGAATATCCGGAAAGCAGCACAACTTAAAAACCTTACTAAGAATTATTTCCAAAACATGATGACTGCAGACTAAAAAAAAGTAAGTATCTCCCAATTTTTTCTCAAGCAAAACGCAGCATCCATTCTTCATTCCAGTATTTACAGATGTTGTGTCAAAACACATTCCTTATACTTTATCCACCAGATTCCATTCTCGAAGTACGTTTCCGACTTCATTTGCTGTACTCCTAATAACTTTTCTATTCCATCTGCTGAAACTACTACTGATAAATGTTCTACTTTAGTTAAGTAGTGGTAATCAGGAAGAATTTTACCATCCCAATGAACAAAAACTAAACCTTGACAAGAAAAACTTTGTTTCATATCTTTTCTTCCTTTCATGTTTTCGTCTCCGGCAAATAGTGCTGCGAGACGGCATTTCATGCGGATCTTTTCCCAGTGTTATCGCAATCTGTACTATAAGCCTTAGAACTTCACGGTCTGAGACATTTTCCCTATCCAAAGCACTTATGACATTTAAACTGTAAAGTGTAGTTTTTAGTTTCTTAGGGAAAGGTGCGGGATTAGCTGATTGAACTAGTGTGTAAGAAATATATGTTTAGGTAAATAATATTCTTTGGTAATTGTAACATTAATATATAGGGCATAACATTTTATTTAACCAGTAAAAAGATGGCGTAATGTTTTTTTTAAATAAATTTAAAAAAAACTGAAATCTCTTAGCTAATGAGCACTCCCTTCTAATACACCTAGGGGCCTAAAATTTTGGGAATTTTTTATTGATGTTGGAGGTAAAAAAATTGGGGGGTGAGACAATCTGTAAAATCAACTTCACTTTTTTGGACCACCCTAATGGACATTCTCAATAGATTACATAACAAAAACATAAAGTTATAGTAAATATAATACTGTATATACATATATAAATAATTTAGATTTAGATCAATTCCTATAAATATAACAAAACAATAACAAAAGGTAACAACTAGAACCCTTTAAATATAGTTTTAATTGAGTTAACAAACAAAAATTCTCCACATCAACTAAATAAACCACATATGTATTAAATGATCTAAACACATAAATAAGCTTACCTATTTTCATAATGGAAGTATATAGTCCATGTGTAAAAATAAAAATAAAATTAACAGCAACACCAACATGTATACGGTCGATTTTTCGCAACGCTAAGAGACGAATGAGCTGGCAATACATAACCCCACGACTTATAATAGAATATACCTGGTGAATTAATTATTTAGAATTTTTAATCGTTTTACTTTTTTCTTCAAAGGTATTTTGCTTGAACATTGAAATTATATGGTCGTATTGTGTATTTAAATTTTAAGTATCTATCTTACAATTTACTGTGTTATTTAATGTTATGTATATCATTTCACTTATTGTTCGCTTCATATAGTGATTTTATATATCTAAAATTTTAAAATTTTTAAAATCAAAATTATGTAATGTGTTAAAATGATGTTGAGCTAGAGCTGTTTTTTCTTTTTTGTTCTTGTTGGAATCTTTGGTAGAGATTCTCTACAGTCATATTTTTGTTGGTATAGTCTGTTTTTTTAATATTGTTTTGTCATCCCTATGTGATAAATGTTATTCGTCTGTTAGTGTTGCGAAAAATCGACCTTATATATGTTGGTGCTGCTATTAATTTTATTTTTATTTTTACACATGGACTATATACTTTCATTATGAAAATAGGGTAAGCTTATTTATGTGTTTTAGATTGAGTAAGTGGACTCCCCATTTCTCACTTGATCGCGGATTTCAAATTAATATATTTTTATATAAAGCAGTCACTATCAATAATGAAACCCAGAAACAGTTTTTTAAAATTTTGGAAACTTTTAATTAAAAAATTTATTTCAGAAAAACCGTTTAAGATATTTTAATGAAATTTTTAGGATTTATTGTTCAATATTCACATTTTAAAAAATAATTCAAAATTTGAAATTATTTAATTATTTATTAACATATTTTTAATTAACTTTTAAATAAACAAATAAAAATTTTAATGACTTCTCCCTCAAATTATGAATCTGTTTTTTTATGTTACATGCATTGTACACTTTAGTTAAATATTCCCCAAGAAAATTTCACTGCTCGCTATTAGTTTAAACAATAAGAATTTATTTATCCCCAAGCGTGAGCTCTGTCGGTATAGCGGCAAGCCGCGCGTCGTAGACTTGGCCTCCACTCCAATCAGTAGTGACAGAAAATAAACTGTCTCTTACAATAAGAAACAATGTAATTTAACAAATTTAATTTTATAAATGTAATAATTATAAAAAATAGATACTGTAAAAATGAACAAATTAATAAATGAAACATAAATTTTCCAGCAGCATGTTTGTATTAATTGTTATTTTTGTATCTTCCAAAAAAAGCTTACACTGTAGTGATACACTGTCTAAGGCTTTATAATAGTGTTACTGGTGGGTATTTTTTATAGTACCAGATTGTTGAAAAAGTAGTTTGTATTTTAGTTCGTGAGGATCATGTTCCTCTTGAGAGCAAAAATGAAAAGCAATTTTTTTAAATAAATTTTTGGACCATTTAATAAATGACTTTGCAGTAGTGATGTGCTTATCATTGTCGCGTTGAAGACTAGCACGATAAGCTTGTCTTTTCACGCTTCCTCCCAAGCCATTACATGCTCCTTTACGGTGAGATGTCGCGAAAAAGTTCCATTCAGCTGCTCCATTAGAGAAGTAAGACATCTTTTTAATAGTATTAGCACCGATTTTTTTTTTATTCAAGTAATTTTGAATTAACAAGATGAACTTAGCTTGCGTCATGAGTTTTTTTCTGAAATTCTCACTTAATTTTCATGTTTCAATTCTTCATTCTCTCGATAATACACTGCGTAGGGGTAAAGATTAAATTGCGTCTTGTACAAAAAAAGAATAATTTTTAGAAAAATCACGTGATAATTTCAGAAAAAATTACTCATGACGCAAGCTCAGTTCATCCTTTTAATTCAAAGTTAATTGAATTTTTAAAAAATAAATTCGGGGCTAATAATATTAAGAAAATGTCTTCCTTTTCTGACAGTATAAAAATAATAGTATATTACACTACAAGGGCAAAAAGTGTGAGATTCCTGCACTGCGCGCCATGATGGCCGAGGCGAATCCGTATTCCTGAATAACAGTTGGTTTATAATCGTTTACTGTTTTTAAATTAACAACAAAATCGTTAATAATCTGCAGGTAGTAAACGATGTCGCCGAAAGAGCAGTTCAACTAACGCAAGATTATATTAATAACTTAACTACTCAAGAAGACCAGAAACAATATTTGATTCAAGTTGTAAGTGAATACAGAGCCAAATTTCCGACTGCAACCAAAGAATGTTTAACAAAAAAATTGTAAAAAACACATTAAATATCTTGATACTATTACTTATAAGCGATAATCGGGGTATTGATGTATCTCTTGCTAAGTTAGCAATTCCGTTAACACAGTAACTTTTGCTCAGTTTGGTTGGTATTTTGGAACGGTTTGGAAGAAAGTTTGAGTCAGTGTTGTATCTCTGGTATACCTACACAGAATGAGATAAAAGGCCTTAGACGAAGAAATATTATAATTATTTATTATTTTTCTTATCTTTTATTGTTTATTATTATAATATGGCTAGGTATAATGCGAAGCAATTGGTATCAACATAAATCAGTTCTGCCAACATACAGACTCTAATTACAATGACATTTAATAAAAATATTTATAATTAAATTTACAAGCACAAGTTATAATGAATTAAAAATAAGGTAATACCATGCATTTAAGAACTATATAGTTTTTTTAAACATTTTTATTTATTTTTAGCTAAAATACGTTCATTTGTTAAGTTATGTTTTATCAAAATTAAGAAGTTGGGCCTTCAAAACAAGGTTATGGTGTTATTAATTCTGCTGCTTAATTTTATGCGGGGTTTTAAGTGCAATATGTAAAAGTGTCTTACTAGTGTGAAAATGAATAATTGTGTTGTGTTTCTTCAAGAAACCACCAAAACTTTTAACATGCCTGATTACAAATACAGCATAAAACAATGTTATAGAAAAGCCTTTATGAACAAAGTATAACGAATTAAACGTTTTATTTACTATTTTTTGCCTTATGTTGCTTTATTATTTAGAACCTAAATTGTTTTGTAGAACATGTTTTTCTTATAATAATTTAGAAACTCATTTAGGGTTGCCATGTTTGTAAAGTATAGAAGCAAAATCTTTCAGCATTTCAGAATAAAATGTAACATTTTATAGTTGTCATATAGGAAAAATGTAAATGCAATATTGCAAACATATCTAGGTTATATGTTGAGTTGGATTTAAAATATATTGTTAAATGGATATGTACTATTTTAGTCTTTTATTTTAATTTAACAAAATATGTTTATATCTAAATTACACTAATGCAGTGATAGTAAGTAATACATGATTTTTATATTATATTTATTTATTTTACACTATGTTATAGCTAGCAAAAAAACTTCTATATTTTCAAGTTAATTCTTTGAAGTATTCTTCTATTTCTGCTGCCTTGACAGGATGATAATGCAAGGTTCTGTGTTTGGTCAGGCACCGAAACCTTTGTTTAAGAACACCAAAGCATCGCTCTATTACATTTCTTGCTCTTATATGAGCGACCTTTCGGTGTATTTTCTGAGGCATCCATAATAGTGGTAAGCAAATACGGTAACAGTGGGTACCGTGAGTCACCTAAAATAAATATTATGTTATACAGGGTATCCCATAATTATCGTGCAGCAGATTTTACGTACAAAAATATGAAAAAAAGTTCCTATAAACGTAGGCCGAGAAATGCTTTCTAAGAGAGCTGAAAGAGGAGCCCCTGAAGATGGTTTTTATTTAATATATCCAAAACCGTTCAAGATAGAAAAGTAAAATTTTGGGAATTAATCAAACTTTTTATGGCCAATAAGATGTAATAATAACAATTCAAAATTTCGATGAGGGGTGGGTCAGGTAGTTGGGAGTAGGGGTTAAAACCACCCTAACTTTTTTGTATGTGTCTCGTGCTAGGATTTGATGTCAGATTATGAAATTTCGGAGTTTTACACACAAAAAAGGTCCTCTTGTTAAACTTTGATATTATCCACTGTTTTACCTTAAAATCAATTTAAAAATTACATTACATGTGTTAGACGTAAGTTTAAAAAGCCGTACTAGGTTAGGTGGCCACTGGAGGGCGCCACTACTCGGATGGTAAAAACGGGAGCTGCCATCCCGACGGAGAAGAAGAAGAAGAAGAGAGCGTTGTTTTGGAGTAGATAAGCTTGGTGTCATTTTTAATTTTAAAATAGATTAAAACAGTTTACCGGTCATATTATTTAAAATACCT